GGAACTAAAGCAGCAAATCCACTGGTGTACATCCTGCCAAGGTGTACCTGCTACAACGGGAAAACCTTATTACCTGCACCACTAAGAGCACAGTCTTTCTGCAAAATACCACCGAGCCTGTATCAGTCCAGCTTAATATCAATGAAACATGAATCCTGTGGAAGTGATGGACATCTGGATATTTTAAATCTCACTCAGTCCTTTCAAACGACTCCTCTATTGCAAGTCACATAATAAATTCCCCCAATAGATCTCCTACCTGAAGTCCTTGGACGCAAGCACCTCATAGTAGTATATGATCTTGCACCTATGACTGGAAACTTGCAGAGAGGCAAGGACATCATCCACGCGAGGGAGGCTAGTGCCAGAGCAGGGCAGAGGGCCGTGCATTTTCCACTGGAGAATGTAAAAGCCGGGCCAGCGAGTCACGTGAGATCCCTGGAAGAAAAAGATAAGGAATGGCATCTCAAGACTACCAGAAGTCCTAAGAAATAGCTGAATGACTTCACAGAAGCCAAAAGAAACTACTGGGCTGAGTGGTTTGGAGAACACATCTTGTTCAATTTTATTTTACATGCCTGAAGCAAGGCCCTGTAAAAAGCACTCCAGTAGTTTGCTAGGACTGTAAAATCAACCCAAGTATCCAAACACCTCTTACCTGGATGCTCTCTCCTTCCCGACAAACCAGCGGAGATTCCATACGGCTGTAATCCACCCCCAGGACCCAGGTCTTATCAATCAGCTGCGTATTGTCCCCCGCAAGAGAGGTACTTGGTAACGTGGCTTCTTTGCGACCAGTTTCAGGAGCTCGTTTGGAGTGAAAGAGGCTGAACACCACATCTCCCTTCAGGATGTCAAAGTCCCAGGTGATCACAGATTCCCCTTCCAAAATCTCTACAACTATCTAAAAAGGAAACAAGACAAGAACATTTTAAAAAGTTAGGACTTCAGATAACAACCAGCATCTTCCTCCATCCTATGCAAATATGCTTTTTCAGTTGTAGAGTACTCCAGTAGTCACGTCCATTTTGTGAGAAGTCCAAAGAGGCCGATTCAGAGCTACTCATCATGCAGCAAGCTAACGGATTGGATTATTAGAGTGCTCTTTAAAGTGTCCTCTTGGACATTCTCTTCTCTGATTACCAAGTCAGCTAATGTACTACCTTCTTTTACCATGACCATCGCTGTCCTAGCTGAACCAACAGGAATGGAAGCAGCAGCATCGCAAAAGGGAAACGGAGGGAGCCTCTATTTCCTCAAAAAAGGAGGAAGAAACTACACTGTACAGAACTGGTTACACTAGAGATAAGAGGCGCTGCTTCTGAAATGACTGTTCTGAACTTCTGTACCCGTAGCTGTTAGCTGGCCTATCTCAACCTTCCCAAGAAGGGTGCACTACGGCTGAAACATCCAGCACTTGCATTTTGGGAGCCACCCATTGCTCTAGACAACTTTAAACAGAACACACCGCTGCTACCAGTTAAGCTCCCCCTTCAGCTATATAAAATTCTGTTTTGTACCTCATGCGGAGCTCCTTTGAGGACACTTGCAGAATGATAGATCGTTTCTGTCCATAACCGGATGTGCTCTGGGTTCTCTGGCTCCTCATCTGCTTGGTAGAGTGACTTGGGCACAAGCCCACCTTCTGGGACATTGCACTAGAAGAGTCAGACACAAATATGGGCAGTCATACTAATCTACTGCTAAAAGTCACTACACCATGACACTACACGTGGACACTCTCAGTTAGTACAAGATTTCAAGGTTGGACTAAATTCACATGAACTGCAACGATTTTTCTAACATCTAATCCCCATCTCCGAGGCAGCATCACCACTTCAAGGCAAGGTCATCGGGGTTTGTACAGCACTTAGCAGAGGTATCTCAGTCGCAGCAGAGATGCTGCTGCCTTTCAGAAAGGACTGAAAGGCTTTGAAAATGGACCACAGGGAGTTTGTACGGTGCAGATTCTACCCGTGCTACAGCAAGAAAAACTCACCACACAATCTCCTCCCAAGAAGTCTGGGATCACATCTTTGTCCACGTAGTCTACTAGCCCTCCTGGCCCCTGGTAGTTATTCCCACTGTAAATCAGAAACTTCTGCCTTGTATTCTCATTGATAAAGGGACTAACCTGGAGAAAAATGTAAAATAGGTTAGAAGTCAACTCACCGCATAAAAACTACACAAGAAATTTATCAAGCATGTTTTTATATTGCCAGAACATCAGTTAGCAGACAGTGCCATATTTACTACTTTTCACTGCCTTTCAGCACAAAAATTTAAAAATATTTTGGTGTTTTCCTATCAGTGTGGAAGCCTATCATGATTGGGGTGCTTTTCAAGATTTACAGTTTAGATATCACATTTTGTCCTGCTCTGGCGGAATGAAAGTGATGAGAATTGACACGCTGTCTGCTCTGTAGCAGGGCTGCAGCCCTTCAGGAGCTCAGCTACGTGTTACCAGAAAGTAGTTTTCTCCCAAATAAGCCTTCAAATAAGCAGATCGTACAATGACAATAGCAGGTTTTAGCTATCTATACACATACAAGCACTTAGGATCCCTGCAGTCTGAATTTCACTCACCAGTGTCCAGAGTACAGGAAAGACCCTGGGAGCTCGCACTATCAACAGTCTCCCCAGGGTTTCGGGGTAGTTGTCCTCAACAACCTCGATGATCCTAAGCAGGGCCTTAACTCCAGGACGCCAGAGGTGCCGCATATTCAAGCCTTCCAAGTCCACTAGACATGTCCAGGATCTACAATGAACACAAAAAAGGAACTTGTCATAACTTCGTTGCACAGC